ATAAGTTTTTATTAAAAAAATTAAACTTTTTAATAAAAACACAGGCAAATTTGCCTGTATTACAATTTAAGGGATAGTAAAAGTTAAAAAATATTTTTAAACTAAATTTAGTATTAAGTAAACCTACTTTCATGTACTAACAAAAGTTGTTCTTTATATTGAGATGATTCTAATGATAGTAAAATCATAAAAAACGATCTACTAGTTATCTGCAATAGTTCTTCAAAGTTTTAAAATGTTTGTTTACATTTGTTTATATGATTTGCAAGTTATAAAACAGTGATTTAAACTTTGAAGAACTATTGCAAACGATCTAGTAGGTCGTTTTTGATGATTTTACTATCATTAGAATCGTCTTAATCTAAAGAACAACTTTTGTTAGTATATGAAAGTAGATTTACTAAACACTGAATCTAGTTATAATATAATTTTTATTTTACTATATAATAGCGGAGATCATTATGTGATTATGTGAATTTTAGCATTATCCAATTTCATGATCATAATTAATCTATTAAAAAGTATTTTACAATATAAGCACCAAATTTTTTATATTTACTAATAAAATAAAGTGCTGAATTTTTTAAAATATTAATAAATTAAAAAAATTTTAAACCAAAATAACTTTTTAATAAAAGAGATTTTTTAAAAAAACTTTTTATACTAATATTCTTTGGGTCTTAAATAATGTTATTATAGAAAGTTTTTTTTTAATTGCTTATTTTTTTAAAAAGTTATTAAACTTTTATTGCAAGCAATTATTGTTATAGCTAAAGCTGAAAATAGCTAATGCTGGAAATTTTAAAGATAGATCATTTATCATATAATATGTAAAGTAAAACTTTTTTGTATAACAGATAATATAGTAAACACAACTCTAATTGGGTAATTACCTGTTTTAAAAATATTTTTACTATTCTTTTTGTGTAACTCTAGCAAATTTGAAGCCACCGCAGCAAATTTAGCTATATAAATAAGTATATTTTTTAAAATAATATAGCTTTTAAAAATTTTACTACTAAAAATAGAAAGTACAATCTATATTTTACAAAAATTTGGCAAAAATTAATTAGATTTTTAAAAATTTTTATTAGTAGCAAAATTTTACTATCTATATAAGGTCTTGATTTGCCATGCATATCATATAAAAAATGATCTACGTATCTTCTATCTTTAGTTATTTTAATATGAAATTTATATAAATTTTTTGAGTCTTTTGTTAGAGGCTTTTTTTTAGGGTTAGATTAGAGTTTAGTAGTAGTTTTAATAATAAAAGAGTATAAGTAGATTTTGGTAGAGTTTTTATTTTTAAATCAAGGTTCCTAATTTCCAGCTTCAGCTGCAACAATTATTTTGTAATGTGACTAAATATCCTGTACTATAATATGTTTTTGTTTTAGCTATAAAAAATTATTAGTGCTAAATATATATTTTATATTTTGCAAAAGTATATTCACTTATAGTATTATACTAACCTTTCTAAATGCATATAGCCAATTAGAATTCAGTATTCAAGTTATATTACACAAGCCTGCAGATCAAATTTTAAAAGCTGCAATTTGATTGGCTCTCTCTAAATGCAAATCTTCTTAAATACACATTTTAAACTGATTTGTATATATTGTATTTAGAGAGATTTAACTGTATAAATTTTTTTACTTTGTTACTTTGCTATATTGTAGTTATATACAGTATAAAGCTATAGCATTGTAACAATATATCTATTTATATTAAATAAAATTTATTTATTCTATTTAGCTAAGTTTTTTAATAGACATTTGTATTATAAATACAATGCTATAAATTTTTATTTCTTAAAAATATACTAAATAATTAATACTATATTTAAAACTTTCAAAAATCTTGTATAATTTAAAATTTAAACTATAATATTATACTGTATATACGTAACTCTTCTATATATTTCAAACTATATTTTAACTTTAAATTTTAGCAAAAACATATTAATACTAACAACATTATATATAAATGCATAATATATATTAAAAAAATTTATTTCTATAACTATATTTTTTAAAATAATAGAATACAAATACTGTATATACTATAATAAATACAGTATATATACAGTATATATACAGTATATATATATTTACAATATATTATAAACGTATATATACAGTATATTTATAATACAGTTACGAACTAACCAAAATAGTTTTTATATATTATAAAAATATCCGGTTAATTTCAAATTAAAAAGTCGAATCACTAGCCACTTTATAAGAACAAAAATTTACTTTTTATGGCTTAATAAGATTTTTCTTTAAAGTTTTTCAAATATTTGTCTGTCACGTATCATATCAAATAATTTTTTATCGTAATAGAGTTAGACTATTTTAAATTATATATACATAATAAAAACCCTTATTGAGTTTGGCAATTGTTATAAATTCGGAATAGAGCTGCAAAAAAGGAGGGAAAATGATAAGATATTTCCCCTTTTTTCAGCATAAAAACAATACTAATATTCGTATTTTTTATAAACATTATATCATGTATACGTGAAAATTGTTAGTGTTGGGAACCTTGTCCAAAAATTTGTAATGAACTAGATCGTGAGCTACAGGAATCATGGTCACAGGACCTTAGGTTCACGATCCTAAGGTTCTAAATTTAGACAAGCTCAGATTATTCATTTAACCGACTAACCTCACAAGGAGAAAGAGCTACACAATGAACTGAAAGAAATCAAATCGGCAAAATATGCCCGTGAAGAATACCATGATCAAAATCATTGAACGTCGTGGAGGTAACACAGGGAGCCCACAACAAAGGTTTGTCACGATAAAAATTAAATCAAATATATTATATAGCGTGTCATTTACGTTTGATCCTTTGAATCAACAAGTATACTTTAAAAGAATGATAAATTAGCCAGATTTACGATAATGTTCACAGCAATGCTTAGGAATACATAATTTACAAAGTTAATGAAAAAAACTTTGTAAGAGAAAGTAAACGCGCTGTGCATTCTTCTCGCAGTAAGATCACACAATAGTTTGGTGTAACTTCTTTATGCAGTCATTTCTTCTTTGCCCTCTCGCAGAATTTGTGATCCAAACCTGAACATAATCAGTTAACATATCAATAAATGTTTAAACTGAAAATCCTTTCAATGAAAATTTTTTATTTATATCAAACCCCACCAGAAAAATTTTAGTGAATTTCATCAGTGTAACATGAACTAATCTTTTTTAAATTGTAAAAATACTCATGAGAGTGATGTAGATAATAAAACGTATTACCAAGATGCAGTCTTTTTTCAAGGCGCGAAAGCCACAAGCTAATGATGACCATAATGGGTAACATTAATACGCAATGATACATTACCTCATCTATTTCTGATACAGCCCCGAAATTTGATACTATCGGTGTCTGTCTTATAGTTATCTTGAAATCACTTGATCAAAGTTCCAAGTCCTCGTGCAACGAGGCCGTGCGTAATTTGTCATTTCAAAGTATCACCAAATGTGGACTAATGATTCGTTAAGATATAAAACAATTGCAGAGTTTCACAAAGAACGAGTAAGTTTTTTTTCGGAAATCAGGGAACCCTGACCCAGAACTCAATAAAAGCAAAAAAAAAATAAATAAAAATTTCAGTTCTAATCTCCAACGAAACTTTATGAGAAAAACCACTGTGCTTTGTTGTTGTGCTGTGGCCTTTTTCATAAACAAAGGTATGTGATTTAAAGGCCCCGGAATGTTGTAAAATAAACAAAGGTTGTATGTTGTATGTATATTTTTTATTTATTCTCGACGTGAATTGATCGAAATCGTAGATTCAGACAATACCCAAACTAGTTTTTTTTTCTCCATTTTTCTTTTTTCTCTAAAAGGTTCTCTTCTTTCGAGAACCATGAACCTTTCCTTTTATTCTTACGTTTACAAGATTGAATTTTACTCTTACATGATGACAAGACGCAGCTGTGTCTTCTCGACAGAGTTTACTGACACTCTTAGAAGGACTACAGTGGAGTTATGTCTTCTCTAAAGGGTTATAAGTTTCTGGTGGAATCGCAATTAGGTAGACCCTTTTCTAGCTAACACTAATTAGCGTTTTATTATAAAAGTGCTTCTCAAATTCTCGTGTTTGTCTACTTGTTCAACTTGTCAAATTCGCTGAAATTCACTGAAATTCACTGATAATTTGATTCCATTATTATTTTATTAATTGATCGATCGATTTTTGATAGTTTAATGGCGAATGAACTTTTTAATGATTTTCTAAATTGTTTTATCTAACCAAAATTTCTACTTTTTTTTCTTTTTATTATTAGATATCTCTTCGCGCTCATTACGAAGGATATACGGCGTAGCCTCATTATATTATGTGGGTAATTCTTTTTATTATAATTATTTTATTTTTGTTTTTTGATCTGCTAATTTTCTTTTCTTTTTTTTTTATAATTAGTATATTAAATAAATATTATTTCCGTCAACAGTTCCCTTCATTTCAATTATCTACTAGGTACGTCTTCTGTAATTTGCATTCTCCTAATGTTGATTGCATTTACTACATCTTTTTTTATTTGACTTTTATCGAATGTTTTATTCCCGTAAACATTATAAGGTTAAAAAAAATGACACTGTTCACATTTCGTACAAAAGTTTTATTTAAATTTTATAGAGTATATCAAAATTACTCCATGAATCAATTTCCTATTATGACCGATTTGCCTTATTCACCGCTCCTTCCAACTGATCCGAACTTTTGGGCTTGGTTAGATGCTCTTCTTCTTGAAATTCTTATGCAACATCAGGCTATCCCATTATCTAGGCAAGCTTTGAATCATTTATCTGCCTTAAACAATTATTATAATGGTTTCACTGATATTCAAATTAAGATATATGGGGCTCTTGCTCAGGCTCATGAACTATCTGGAAATTGGCTTGAGGCCATTAACGCTCATCGTAATATTTTAGCTTTAAGACCTGATAGTATTGACTCTATGATAGGTTTAGCAAAATGTTACAACAAAAATGGTGATAAAAGTCAGTTCCTAAGTACTTCTTACGATGTTATTCGTATTAAACCAACAAACTGGGAATTTGCTAATTATTTGACCGATGCCCTCACTAATGATCCTTCCCTTCTTCAAGAAGCTTTGGATGTATTAAATCATGTTTTACAACATTCTTCAAATTCTTCCATGAAGATGTTAGATGTGGGTTTTATACAATCTCTTTTTTATCGTCGTGCTCAACTCAAAAAACGGAACAATGATTATTTGGGGGCACTTATGGATTGTTTCTCAGTTTTGGAAATAGCTTTGAATGGAAAATCTTTAAAATCTTTTCTAGATGATATAATATTATGTCTTGGATTTAGCAATTATGATCAAACTCAAGTTCCATTCATTATTTTACCTGTTAATGACTCTTTAAGATTACTTGATTTATTATTTCCGACAACAAGTGGATTATTTCCCGGCCATTTAGGTTTAACTTCCCAATCCGATATAAGATTGGCGAAAAAACAAGTCTTTGGTGTTCTTTATGAGATAAGCTCCGCCTTTGAATCCCATCCAAAAGAATGTCAATATTTTTTAAATGATGTTACTCCACTTAGTTCTATTTCTTTACTATTTCTTTATTTGGCTTGCGCGTGTTATCCTTCTGCTCAAATTTTTTTCGAAGTTGCCGCTATGTTAAACAAGATTACTGGTGTTGCTGCTTGTCGTCAGGCAGCCATTGGTTACCTTAGTGAAGGTATTCAATTGGACCCTAAAAATGTTGACGCTTATATTAATTTGGCTGATTGTTTATATAATGATGGAAATATTCCAGGAATGACTGAAGTATATGAAAAACTATTATCTTTTCATGTCATCTCTGATGAAAATCATTTGATTAGATTTGCTTTTGGATGCTGTTATATAGGTGATATTGCCAAATTAACTGCTACTTGGTCTAATGCTCTTTTGTATTATAAAAGAGCTCATACTTTAAGACCAAATGATCCAATTTTTTTAGCTTCTTTGACTCAAGCTAATACTCATGTATGCTACTGGAAAGATCGGGGTGGAATAGGTTATCATTCAGTTGATAGTAATGGTAATTTACATCGTTTCCAAACTGTTCAGAGATCGGGCCAAATGGCTTTAGTTGCTGATATTGTTGAAAAAGCTATTAATGATGGAGCTAAATTTGGAAAAGGCATAATTGAAAAATCTGGTGGAATTCTAGCTCTTTTAACAAATTTATGTTCCAATTTAAGAGATGATGATAAATCGGTTAAATTTTTCAAGGCTAAAGCGGCAAAATGGAGAAATCAAGCTTTTAATCTAAAGAATGAAGGTGGTTGGATTATACGTGTAATTCATCATATAATGCGTCGGATTCAGCATAAATGGTATGTGGATTCATACGGTGGTATAACACAAAGTTCACATGCTCTACCACCGATTAATGTAACTCCGAAACTCCGTTCAAAATATCAACGTCCGCTAATCCCTCCAGGATTAGAACAACCAGTGGCTACGCCTATACAACCATTTTATACGTTCATTTATGATTTAGATCCAAGACAAGTTCGTATAATATGTCACAGGACTGCTTTAAACATTGCTTATGAAGGTTGCACGGCTTCTTGGTTGGATACATGTGTTTTCCCACCACCACCACCACCATCACCTAGACTGAGAGTTGGTTATGTTTCATCCGATTTCAAAGATCATCCCTTAGCTCATTTAATGCAATCTGTATTTGGAATGCACGATCGTAACGTAGTAGAAGTTTATTGTTACTCATTATCACCAAATGATGGTTCTATATATCGAGCAAAAATTGAAAAAGGAGCTGATAAGTTTTATGATTGTCATGCTTGGACAACGGAATCTATTGTCAAACAAATAGTCCATGACAATATACATATTCTTGTCAATCTCAACGGTTATACCGCAGGAGATAGGAATCTTATATTTGCCGCTCGTCCAGCCCCGATTCAAGTAACTCACATGGGGTTTGCAAGCTCTTTAGGTGGTTTATGGTACGTTAAAGGTAGGGTTGTTAATTGAGCACACTATTGACTTCATTTTAATTGTAACACTTCAGGGTATTACTATTGTGTTAAAATGGAGTTATTGGTAAAGCTCCATTAGCAATCTAGTTAACCTAGTTAATTATTATTTTTTATTTAAATTAACTAACATAAATATTTTATTTATTATATTAGGACTGATTATAACATAGTCGATGAACATGTATGTCCGGAATCTCAGACCAGTGATTATCAATTTTGGAATAAAAGTCGTGATAATGATGGTGATTTATTGGGTGAAGTAGATCCTGAAGAGGATGATAAAAATTGGACATATCCAGAAAAGATAATTTATATGCCAACCACATATTTTATTAATGATCATAAACAAGGATTTTATGATGATAATCTTGCAAAAGGATACTATGATGATAATATTCCTGGATGTATACTTGCAAAAAATCATATAATAAGATGGTTTTTTGAAGAGGATCGTCGTTGGGATATGCGTAAACAACTTTTTCCAAATTTAACTGATGATTGGGTTATCTTTGCCAATTTTAATCAATTATATAAGGTATATTATCATTTATAACATTTTAAGTAATATTATCAAATATAAAATTTCTAATTATTGTTAATCATTTAATGTTTTTAGATTGATCCAGTAATTTTTAAATTATGGTTACGAATTTTGGAAAGAGTACCAAAATCTATTCTGTGGATATTAAACTTTCCAGAAGAAGGTGCAAAGAATCTTTTAGAAACTGCACGACAATGGGCGGGTCCAAATGTTGCAAGTCATATATATTTCACAGATGTAGCGGATAAAAAACAACACGTTATAAGGGGAAGAATAGCCGATTTAATTCTTGATACGCCACAAGTGAATGCGCACACGACGGCATGTGATATTCTTTGGTCTGGGACGCCGATGATTACACTTTCGGGACCTGAACACAAGATGTGTTCCAGAGTGGCATCCTCTATATGTAATGCAACAGGATTTGGTGATAAAATGATAGTACCTGATTATCAGACGTATGAAGACAAGGCAGTAGAATACGCAAATTCAGTGACATATAAATATTGGTTCGGTTGTTTATTACCGGGAGCACAACAACGTCTTCATCGAAATGGTGTTGGTGAATTGATTGAATTGAGAAAAAATATATATTTAAACCGAGAAAACATTCGTCTTTTTGACACACAGCAAGCTGTTAAAGAGCTTGAAAAAGGATATGTTGATGCGTGGGTTCGTTGGGTGAATGATAACGAACGTAACATTCATATAAAGATATGAGGGTATATCGGTCTTTTTTTTTTAATGGAATTCTAACAGTTATTTAATTTACTGAAAAAATTAGGCAAACGCGGACATCGCATAATGGAAATTGATTTTTGAAATAGTTTTCAATATATTAGTTTATTTCTTTTTTTTTTTTTTTTTCTTTTAAATTGTAAATAGTAGATCAGACATCATTACGCATTATAAAACGGTTAGATATTTAGATGTTAAAAAATGGTCTAATAATCTTAATAGTTTGAAAGCAATACAAGAGGTGATTACCATAAAAAAATAGTACTACTCTTTTTTTTTTTTTTTTTTTTTTTTTTTACATGAAGAATATCGTACGCTATGGGATCACTTTGTTTTGTATTTTGGAATAACGTTAGAACTGCAGGATGATGTTACTTTTAGTGTAAATAATGTAAACGAATTATTAAAGACATTTGAAAAAAAAGTCAATCATGATGATTGATCAATGTAAATTATTCGAATTGGTGCTATTGCTGTAATTGTATAACGATAAGTGATTAATATGGGCTAATTTACTTACGTAGTGATTGGCCGAATTTATTAGTACTAATTCAGGTAATTGCGCAGAATCTCATTGCTCTCTATAATTCACATGAGGTTATTAATTTTGCGCTATAAATGGAGTTAAATTAGTTCGATTTACCTAAATTATAAACCAATATAACTATAGTTACATTCATAATTAAGGAAATTTTCATCCATAATAAGCGTTGTTTGGGCAATCCTTTGGGCGTTGATTATCCTAATAGCGAGGCAGTATCGTGTGATCGTCTGCCATTCTGCCACATTTAAAATATTATATAATAAATATATATATACATATATATATATACTGTATGCATTGTATACATGTACTGTACGTACGTTACGTACATACATACGTACGTACGTATACGTACGTACATACATACGTACGTATGATAATACTTATACTACGTAGTAGTGTCTTTTCCAAGTTTTCATTCAATGATATCTATCTATATACAATACGTATATTCGTTCCGATTAAAAATCACCAAATTTCATTCTAACGGTTAAAATGTTAATACATTTAGACATAAGGTTAATTTAAATGACTTTAGGTTTAAAGAATATTTTTTGCTCTATTCAGCAGTTCATTAAATAATTCTGTATTTACAATGTGAAATCATGTATTATGAAATAGAATTTTTATTCGGAGACACTAATTGGGTGATATTAATACACAAAGCAACAGATTGTTAAACAAAAACAATTATTTAAATATGGATGACTTCAATCAGGAAACAATACATGATAAGTGTTTCAAATACGATGCGTACGTGCGTGAACATATATGCATGAGGTGGAATGCTATCACCAATTTTATCAATCATATTTCTTTCTCTTGGATATATTTAAACTGAAAATAAAAACTATTCATCTTTAAATCAACGTATTTTTTAAGTTTGTAAATAGAACTATGGGACAAATATATTCAATATTTTCATCAAAACCATCAAGTGAGTTGGCGGAAGAAGAGTATCAAAAATATCGAAAATTAGCACATAATGAAGCACAACTTCGTAATGATTATTTTGCACAATCTCAGGAGGCCTTTAGAAGTCATGAAAAAAGAAAGGCAAAAGAATTATCAATAAAAGGAAAAGAACATGCGCAAAAAATGGAACAATATAATAGCATGGCTGTTGATGTAATATTTAAAGGTAAATTAACTTATATATCTGTACACTTATTTATTGATTTATTTATTTTTTTTAAACCTTATTCAGTTATTTTTTAAACCTTATTATTTTAAAAACAGAAAATAATAAAGGTCGACCAATGCATGAAATTGACCTTCACGGTCTGTACGTAAAAGAAGCATTGGATAAGGCTGAATCACGTATTCAACATTGTAAGGCTAATAAATTTAATCATTTAATTATAATTGTTGGGCGTGGTAAGCATTCAAGTGGTTTAGCAAAGTTAAAACCAGCAATTATCAATTTAATGAAAAAATATCAACTAAGATGTACCTCAGATAAACCAACCGTTGGTTGTATATATGTAGAATTTGGATTCCCTGGTGAACCAATCAATACAGGATGGTTTGATACTTTTATCTCCAATGTTTCAAATTGTATCATTTGTTAAAAGAGATTTAAGTAATGTTTAAGTTATATGCTACATCATATATTTTGCTGAAAATATATTACCTTTTCTCTTGTTTAGACTCAAAATCGTTTATTTTATTTATTTTTTTAAATTCCTCCAAAGATAAGCTACTATCTTCATTTTATCAAGTTTTAAATTCATGTACCGTATGTTACTGAATAAAAACAGTCATATGTTGCTGAAAGTTTGATAGTTTTTTGGGCTAAATGATAAGGTTGCTTATGTTTCGCCTAATTTTTTTAATAAATATAATTTCCTCTGCCTAATTTTCGATTCTAAAATTGGGAACTTTGCTAGGAAAATGACCCCCGAGGCTATATAGATTTTATGAATAAAATTCAAATTTGTTAACCATCCAATAATCCAATTTAAATAAAATTTTTTTTTATTTTGTGAAGATAAGTAAGCTTTATAAAATAAGAAAAGTTTGTTTAAATTGGATCATTGGGTGGCTGGCAAATTTGAACTTAATTTATAAAATCTAAGGGTCATTTTCCTAGCAAAGATCCCAATTTATTCATTAAAAATGGTACGTATCTATTCTAGCACAATATCCTGCAAGTATAGCTGTTAATACTTTAGTACATTTTTAAATTAGCTATAGTATAAATATTATAAATTGGATGCAAATTATTTAACTCTTTCCGTAGCTAAATACCGTAAATTCTCGAAATAGTGGGCATGGATGTTATTTCGAAATTTGGCCTGAATTAAGCCTAATTCGGGCCAAAATTCGAAATAACGCCCACGCCCGCTATTTTTAGCTATAATTTTACTTTTTTCTTATTCTAAAATAAAAACTTTTAATTTACTTAAAATATTATTAAGCAAACCTTATTATTATTTTTTTAGAGATATGCTATTTATTATATTGTTATACAGTATTAGCATATTTTATTAGTTATTTATTAGTTAGAATATATTGGTAAAGTTATTTGTATTAATTGGTGATCTACCAGTCAACCAGAGAGTGATCATAGTAAAATGTGACTCGGATTACTTATAAAAATTGGGGTCTTCAAATGTGGTGTACACGCATCTAAAACATTTTTTTATATTAATTGATGATCCTCCAGTCAACTGAAGCATGATCATAGTAAAATGTGACTCAGATTACTATAAATTTACTATGGTGCAAATGTGGCGTATATGCATCTAAACCTTTTTTTATACTAAGTTAATCATCTTTCTTACTTAAGAGACTTTTGTAAAGCTTGTCAAGACGCATCTAATGGTAGTTAAAGCGTCAAAATTGGCCTGGTGAGTACTGAGATATCTTTAAAAAACCTCTCTTTTACTATGTAAATTTCTTTGCAAACAATACTATTGTT